AGAGAGAGAGAGAGAGAGAGAGAGAGAGAGAGAGAGAGAGAGAGAGAGAGAGAGAGATCTGAAGTTTCGCAAAGTTTCCCCCTTTTTCATGAATGTTTGTGGAGTTTTCGAAGGGTCGAGACTTAGTCCTGTCTTTTATTTTCCCTGGTTGAGAAAAGTGCAAGGCATGAGCCCCTCGGCCTAGGTTGGAAGGGGCCTGCGCCCGCCCTAAGTGAAGTCAGGCCCCTGAAAAATTCGTCCAGGCCTATTTTGAGGTGGATGTGCACAGAAAGGACCTCGTGGGTTGGTCGCTGCACACATTATCTTCAACCGACCGGTAAGACTGATCGGTTGAAGATGCTGGGGGCCCAGGCTGAGATACTGCAACCCACGGTGCTCACAGTTGAGCCCCAGGCACATTCTGGAAGGCCCCTGGGCGCAGCTTCTGGGGCACAGGCCTCGCCCAGCCAGCGGATGAACAAAAGGAAGCGAGGCCACTCACTTCAGCACATTCTAGCTGGCTGGACGGCGGCAGCGCTGCTGGAGCGCTGGCTTGCTGGACGAAGGTCAGGTAGAGTGAGGAAGGGCGCTGGTGCACGGGGAAGAAGTTGCGAGGGCGCAGCTTGAGCGCAGCAGCTATAGCCGGGCTGCTGGCGCCATAGCCTGGGAGGTTGAGCGGAGGTCCTTGGTTGAGGGACAGAGAGTGGGGAAGTCGAGGATGAGTGATGCATATGGGTGTTTACCTGGTGGTGATGAGTGGGCTGCCTGCTTATGTCGGAGCCTTCATTCGCCATCGGGCTGCTGAACTTCATGACGACCTGTGGTTGTCACTGTAGAGTCTAGGTTAGTATGGTGCTGTCTGATTGTAGTCCAGGTGCCGAGCACCATATAGGAGAGCGATATTGTGGACATTGATGTTGGAGGCCAGAAGAGGGCTTTCATTGTCAATTGACTTCGGTGCTTTGCTCTCCGCTTATTCGGTGTATCTCGTGTCCCAATCTTCTTTCAGCTTGAGCACATGGCTATCTAGATTTCTTGGGAATGATGGCATTTGGTTTCTGTCATTCGCATTGCTCATTTTCCTTCGAAAAGCAAAATTAAGGGCAGTTTGTGCTACTTTGTGAGAATGAATAATACCGTCTTCAGCCAAATAGAATGCCCGGTCATTATAGCTGTATTTTGGCCGATTTCCAGTCCAGATACAGCAATAATTACCGGGCGTTCTATTCGGATGAAGATGGTAGATTATATCGGTACTATATCCTTGTATAACTATCTTTGTGCACATGTTCTTACTTTGTGAAGTTTGTGTTCTATTTTTTTTCCTTTTCGGTTGCACTGACATCCATTCGACAATCAACACCTAAATCTTAAAAAAAAAAAAAAAACAATCAACGCCTAAAAACAAAAATAGTAACTTTAGTACTAAAGAGTATACTGAACTATTTTCTGGAATTCTCTTACACGGCCTAACACAGGTGGATTTCCTTAGTTTTTTTTTGGGTTAAAAAAAAGGGAAAAAAAAAGGTTGTGGAGTTGTCACACAGAAGTAAAATGTCAGAATTCAAAATCCCAAAAGCGCCAAGATCTAAAGCATTGTTCTGGCTGTTCATCTTGTGGCAGGTCCTTGCACACGATGTCAATATCGGTTACGAAGACATCACAAACACTCAGGTATGTTTCCTTTCGCTTTTTTTTTTTTTTTTTTTTTTTGTTGTTGTTGTTGTTGCTGAAACAGGTCCTTATGGTCCTGGCTCCATAATACAGTCCATATCCATCAGGTATGTTTCGTAACTTTCCTCTATATCTATGTATGTAATTGGGCACTTTTTGTTTTTTGTTTTTTTGAGGCTATTGGTATATTGTCACCGCCCCTCGTTTGTTGTCCTCTTCTCCCTCTCTGCCTACGGTTCACCGGTTAGCTCTGTGATTGTCGACATATTATTGTATTGCTATTAAATCATTAAATGGATATGTTTAGTATTTTTTACTCTATTTGTTTTCTTTTTCATCCACTGTGTCTTATCTGTGCCCACTTACTAGGCTGTTTTGGCTTTTTGAAAAAAATTTGAAAATTTTCAGCCAACTTGGTCAACTTGCCGAGTAAGTAGGCTAAAGACAGATTCAAACCATCATTCCTGGATTTCTAAGGAAAAATCAATGGACTTATTAGCAAGTTATTACTGGCAATCTCTTTATTATCTAAGCCTTTCAGTTGAGTTCAGTTCAATGTTCTACTGTCCTACTGCCTTCCCGGGAACGTAATGCACCCTGAAAATGGACGTATACAGCTTACATTTTCCGGGCCGATACGGTCAAAATGAGGGTGCATTGTTGTGTTCAGGAGAAGACACTAGTATAGAACTACGTATTCAAAGTTTCACTGAAAGGAAACTGTCTTCATGGTCGGTGGAGATTGGGTCACTAAATTGGAGTTGTCATTACTGTTGCGATTAGAGTTTCTCGGTGATGAACTTAGATTTTGATGATAACTTTCGTCGACTTTTCAGTGGTTGAAGCTAATGAACTGCGAAATGTTTTTTTGTGTTTTTTTTTTTTGTGTTGTTCAATCGTCAATGTTTTTCCTCCTGTTTCAGGTTTTGAAGTTTAACGGCGAAGAAATCCTTAACCTGAAACAGCTAGCCCACCTTGTGGATAGTAAGTGTTGCTGTGCTTGCTTGCAGCCTTGCACAACCCTAGCTTTTTTTTTCTTTTTCTTTTTTTTTTACCTGTTTTGAATGTGTTTTCACTGTTGTTAAATGTTGAACGTCTTTTCGACGCTTTGACTACGATTGTTTGCATTTTTGCACTTTGTGTGTTTGAATGTGAATGGTGAATGAAGATTGTCGGATTTGTAAAGCTTTCTCTTTTTGAAGGGCAACGCAACGACCTTGAGCTATCATCATTGAAATGACCGGCCTTGGGTGATTTAGAGTTTAATTTATTGTCGTCGTCATCTGATTGTATCTAGATTCGAACTTGGGGGTCTGCATTTCAACAGTTCGTGGGTGTGTACCAACTGAGCTAGGCTGCTTTTTTCTGTTTTCTCGCTGTCGTGAAAGTCGTTGCGGCATTTTTTTAATGGTTTCCTCCATCTTTTCGTTTTTTAAATTTTTAGCTTTGAACCGGGTTAAGGGCGCAATTATTGTAATATAAACTAAGTACTTTATGGCTCCAAGACCCAATTATTTACCTTTTCGTTTCTTACCTTCTAACCATACTTGCAAGCGGACGCCGTCGGGGCGGTTCCGTACGTGCTTCAGACCGCCGGACCGGACCCCCGTGGCGCACGAATGTGCGCCCGGCGACCACTTACGCCCCAACCCAAAAAAAAAAAAAAAAAAAAAAGGCCCTGTCCGGTCCGGTCCGGTCCGGGGGGAGGGTGCCGCTCGCGGCAAAGCGGACCGGACCGGACGCTCGTCCGGTCCGTCTGCTTGCAAGTATGCTTCTAACACAAGAGTGACAAGACCACTGTAACAAGTACCTTCAAGAGGTGTGGTCACAATGGAAATCATACAAAGAGCCTTGAAAGAGGAGCTCCAAGACCCAATCATGTGGTTTACGTTGTTTAACAATGGTTTTAATTAGCTTTCATGGCTCATAGTAAATGCAATGAATATTCTAAAGTCTTGGCAGCACAGGGTTATTTTCAGGAAATGGAGCTTCTCCAACAGCAAGAAGATCAGCCACAATCAGCAGAACAACAAGGTCTCTATAACATAATAGTCGAGGACATTGAGGACAAGCTTGCCGCCCGGGCAGAGCGCAGGAGGCAAGACGCCCACGTACGGCGAAAAGTTCACAGACATAAGCTGGAAGGCTCTATGGGCACACGGTCTTTTGCAATGGCCAAGGTCAGGACTGGGAGGGCTACTATTAAAGCCCTCTCGGATCGGCCCACGCCCAACAACCTCTAGTCACTACTACCTCACATTGCATTCACATCACCCGCGACTTCTTCAAGGATCTTTGCTTCGCGGTGTATCTAACGGCCTCAAACCCAACACAGGGCAGACATTGATGAGTTCCAATCGACAAGTGTTAGCCGAGTTATGCTACTCTTTCCATCTGATCTGCAGGTCGATAATGTCGGCTGTCTTCACCTGGACCAGCCACACCTTCTTGAACTTCAGAAGCAGTACTTGCTGCTGCCTTTCTGGATTCTGCTTGATTTGCAGTTTGACTTTCTTCCACTGACTCCGAATCTCCGTTTCCATCATCAGTTTCGTCGTTGTCCACACCTTTTTTTTTTTTTTTTTTTTTTTTTTTTTTTTTTTTTTTTTTTTTTTTAATTTTATTTTAAACAGGCCCTAGCTACTAGTGATAGTGACCACACCTGCTCATACGCTTTGCTGGACTTTTCTATGGTCCTGCTGCACCTTTCTTTCCATATGACCCAGAGCGTCACCTTCCTGATTGTCCCGAACCAGATGCGTTCGGATTCGTCAAATTGGGCGAGGGATGTTAGTCCATAAAAGTAGTTGGATTGGATGTTCGGGGAGGGAAGATGGAAATAGGTGGTCCCAAAAAACCGAGGCTCTGGCCCACTGGTCAGTAGCGAATTTGCATGTTATCAGGCAATGTATGAGGTCTTCTTGTTCGTTATCTCAGCATACCAGACATTTTTTTCGGGGCTGTCTGGGCCGCTGTTTTTCCTTCGGATATGTAACCAGGTATTTACTAGATGTGATTAACCATTGGAGACTTCTGATTTTGACTGGGCGTATTGATTTGTATTTCTTCCAGGGCACTTTCGCGATTGGTTCCATTCTCTGTCCTAGTAGTTTGTTCCATCTTTCTTTGATTACAGCTTCTGGCCCTTCTGGGTCTTTGGTCTTAAGCAGCATCTTGTACCCCATTTTAGTTGTGTGTATTGCATGATATGAATAGGGGTTTTGTATAATCTATTATTAGCTGAGGACCATGGCCACTCCTCCGGATCGAATTCGAGGTCTTGGATCGCAGTTCCGATTTGGAATATCTTTTTTTGGCCAGGTACCTAATACCCTTTTTTTTCCGTAGTGTGAACGGATCTAGGACCGATTCCTGTGGGTCAGCGTTGTGGATGGATGGGGATTTGGGGTTGGTGTGATCGATCGGATAGGAAGTGAATATTTATGAGAGCACTGGGCCTGCTGATCTGTGGTAGAATTGGTAAGCAAGCCCTTTGTGGTGTCGTCTCCTGAATTAACACCCACCCAGTCCCCTGGCTTCCATGAAAGTCTTTCTTTCAGCAGATCTTTCCAGCTGTCTGGACTGGAATGCTGTTTATTACTGTTGCCAAGTTTTCATCGCGATGATGGCACCCCTTCAGATGTGATTTCAACCGTTCCTCATCGATCCAACTTTTTTTTCTCTTCATCCCAGATGTAGCTCACCCTCCACACCCACCCCCTGCCGGATCCATGAAAGCCAGCGCTGGCCATTTGTTAGAGACAGTGTATGGTCCCCTGCATCTCTTACATATGGATTCCCGAACAGAGGTTGGCGCAGGACTTCCTCTCTGTATTTTGGCTTGGTTACCTTCTTTGGCATGACTTCTCTCCATATGCGGATAAGCGCAGTCCAGTATGGGGTAGAGGACTCCGTCTCATTCTGAGATACATTTGACGTATGTCTCCTCCTGCCTGTTTTCGGCTTCCATTCTTTGTTCATAACCCAGAATAAGCCTGACATGTTAGACGGGCTCTGTGCTGGGGCTATGACTCTTACGCTGTCCACAGCTACCGTCTTCACCCGAATAGAACGCCCAGCAATTATCGCCATATCTAGACTGAAAGATTCCAGGCCCTCAAATACAGCGTATAATGACCGTACGTCAGTGCTAAAAACCCGGTAGGACCGGGGGGTCCTCCCCCAACCGGAACCGGACCGGTCCTACCGGCCGGTCGACCGGGCCGGTTCCCCCCCGGTTGGCTGT